CAATTGTCAAAACAATCTCCCATCTTCATGCAGGGTTACACAATCCGGGAGTAACGAAAAAAGAAGACATTTATTGTACATTTTGCCTCGTTGGGCTAAATACAGGTCACGTATTGACAATCATATAAATAACCGTGCATATGAACATCTAGTATACTAAGCTTGCTCTCGTTTCTCAGTAATAGTAGAAATACAGTTTGTCAAAGAGATATACATTTCTTTGAATCATTTAACCCTACCTAGACCGGGCTTTTTTTGACATGGGGGGACCGGGAGGGGGCTCTTTTGACCCCCCCCCTAAGAACTCGCGAACGGTATGTCGTATGGCCACCAAATTTTCAGAGAATGGTGTACTAGTGAAAATTTATCATATCTACAATTCTATGTCGTTATGACGTAATATGACGTCATTATGACGTCATTAATGTGATTTTAATTGCCAAAACCGTCTAAATAGTTTTTTCCCTGAAAACTAAATGTTATTCAACATAACTGTACCAAAAGTGTTTATGACAGAATATTATGGTGTACTACGTCTTATGTTGCCCATAGCAACACCGGTGACGTCATAAAATGACGTCATGCATATTTAAGATATCCGCCATCTTGGATCATGAATCTTGAATTTTCAAAAATAGTTTTTTTTCATGATAAAGCCTACAATACATTGTAAACATACTAAAGACCTTCATTTAAACCTTTTTTGGAAAAAGAAATGGAAGTATTGATGAAATTTTAATGAAAATAACCTGTATATACCTGTTCTAATGATATGGTCCGCCATCTTGAATTTTGGCCAATGACGTCATCAAATTAGCATAAAGTATGCATATTTAATGATAAAATTTACATAAAATTATATGGGATGTTATTAATATTAGAAACCATGAGTAACTTGACATAAAACCCATAAAATTCTATTGTTGAAACAAAAAGTACTAAATTTAGCAAAATATGCCTGTCAGAAACCCGTTGCCATGGCAACACACAAATATTTTATCTTATTCCAATGATAGAGAAATGTTGCCAACAATATTCTAGGAAAAGTCACCAAGTTTGGCCGTTCTACGGCTAGCCGTTCAGACGCTAGGTGACATCAAAGTTGCCGCGGGCACTTTTACGCCCCCCCCCCCCCCGGTCTAGGTAGGGTTAACTTAATTCTGACAAACACAAACCCATTTGACAGTTGATGTAATCACATAAGTACGGTGTGAATAATTGCGTATTTCCAATCACCCTTTACAGAATGCGTGACTATCCCACCGGTGTGGCTCACTCACAGCTCATTGACGGGCATGATACTCACAGCCATCTCGCTAGGAGGCGCAGTCAGCACACTCGTGGCCTTCTTCGTCTTCATCGTGCATCACGAGCATCCCCTCATAAAGGCGAGTCAGATCTCTATGCATAATGATATACTATCTGGTTTAAAAACCATGATGTAAAACGTGACATATATCTTAACAAAAAGCTATCCTTTCATGAACATCATTCAGCCATAGTCTGCAATCATTGCACAAGTGATAGCGGCCAAGCGGGTGATGTGTTCATGAATATATCTTTCTTTACGCCCCTGTCACACGTAGCTGAATATCACCTCCAGAACTCTGATGCGGAACTTCCCAACGATGGTTGGGAGTAGGTCGGGAACAAGGTTGGCTGTGGTCGGCAGGTGTTCAGCGAAGTCGGCTACTGTTCGGCTGCGACATGTCGACAGCCAATTGTTCCAAATTATTTGGGTGTGAACAAGAGGTTGCACAATGATCGGGACGTTGTTTGCAGTCAAATTTGACTTAAATTTAACTCAAGTTCAATTCTCATCGAAAAAGAGGACGTAGCCTAAATCTGGCAAGACTAGTCCCAATTGCAACCCTACCGCCAACCTTGGTTTGTTGAAGGTCGGGAGAAGGTTCTGGATGTGTGACAGGTGCTTAACAGGGTGGGTTTTTATGGTACAGAATGTCCTTGGTTGCAGAGACGCTATGAAATATATCCGGACCATTTAACGTTTCTCACAGTCACTGGCACATAAATTAGCCTCTCCGCAGAGGATGTAGGACTCGGGAGCTATAATAGGTCTGGTAACCAGGCTACATTTAAGTAGACATCGTATTCAGATATTTTGTATTTCTCCAGGCATCGAACAAACACCTAAGCCGGCTGATTCTGCTGGGCCTGTTTGAGGGCTACACTCACGTCATGGTCATCTGTACCAAACCCAGCTACGTCACCTGTCTCATCAACAGACTCATGTTCGGGGCGGACTTCACTCTCATCTACGCACCACTTCTTACCAAACTCAACCAGGTAAGGGCTATGGGAGTTTTCTTTTACACAGCCAGTAATGTTTACCAGTCACGAGCCGAGCGAAATGTTCTCAAGATTGGGCGCCACTCGGCAGATAGGTGGCCAGGAATATTTACCAGAGCATAGGCTATATGAGGTTGTGTATCGTTGCCGTACAGGGTATCTAGACACGACTTCCGAGTAACTACGCACCGGAGCTGAGCGATATCCGCCATTGGGTACGGCGAAAAAGCACAGGGTACGGCACGAATTACCGAGTACGGCTTGAAATTTTCGCGGGTACGGCACGAATTTCCGGGTACGGCCAGAATTTTTGAGCGAGTACGGCTTGAATTTCCGGGTACGGCTTGAAAGGAATTTGATGGGGGTGATCATGAGTACATTGTATGCTTCACACAGAACAACTAAACACTCTTTCCCTGTTCTTGGTGGACCAATCAGAGAATCAAAGTTGGAACAACTATTTAAACATACAATCATGACTAAAAAAAAGTTACAAATTCTGAAATAGTTATTACTACAATTGTTACAACACCACAACTTAAAAATAATAAATTACAACTCATTTCAAAACAGACTCAGCAAATAATCAGGTCTCTATGGCCGTGTTTAAGTGAAGTCACCCAAGGCGCTTTACATGTGGTTTACCCCGAAGCCGGTTTCATGTGGCTCCATCTGAACGCTCCGAAATCACATTGAAAGCGCCTCGATCCCAAGCCACTTCTAGAGGTGGTTTCGAATCGGTTTCCCCGCATCGCGATTTGCGTCTGAACGCAATGTGATTTCAATGTAACTTCGCCTGGTCATGGAGTACGGGGTGATGTTTCTTTATTTATACGCAGTACCAACTTTACGTGGCAGCAAATTAAAGAGCAGTAATGGTCAAATAATGTGTCCGTTCTAGGGCGAGCTTCACCGTCTCTGGCGGGACCACGTCGGCATTCGGCCGAGATACACTGGGAGGGGGGCACCAACAAGCAGGTCGTTGACCTCTGACATTAATAACACGCCGCCTTGCGTGTTATCATCAAACAGCAATAAATGTAGCTCAAGCGAATTGTGTTCGGACACGATTTCACAGGTGTGTGTGGCACGTGGACCAGATGTGAGGAATGTGAGTTACCCGAATCGCGGTTTGGGTGACTTCACTTAAACACGGCCTATCATGTCTGTTCCAGGTGTACCGGATCTTCAGCGGGGCCAGCACCTCTGTGGTGAAGCCCAGGTTCATCGGGTCGCACGCGCAGGTGTTTATCAGTGTTCTCCTGGTCCTGATACAGGTAATCATGGAGTCATCTCAGTACAGCCTCTGTACTCACACATTCACGATTTTGGCCCCCCGAACACTATCCAAACGCTTCCTTATGCTTAAGTCCCAATTTCACCCAATTAAAGTAACCAAGCACGTTACCCTCGAGCTCTACTGCCCAAATGATTGGGGCTGACGTCAAGAATCACATGGTTGGTCTCACGGCCACACAGCCAAGTCACCCGATCACAGAATTTAATAACTCAGGAATAACAGTCAATCCGTAATCCCCCAAATCCGTCACAATCTGGGATTCATAAGCAGAACTTGCGCTTTTTTTATAACGTGGAAAGAACCCAGGGTTAACGACTGGTGATATTACGTGACGTTAATCCTCAACATCCCTGGGGAAATAAAAGTATTACAAACATGCAGTCCTCACTGTAAATATATCTTTTGGTGATTCTACCGGCAGTGATCCTGATTTGAGTTAGCCTGGTTACCAAACCTATTATAGCTCCCGAGTCCTACGGAAGCTACAATAGGTTTGGTAACCAGGCTAGATTTGAGTCTGCGAATACTAAGATTTTTGTATTAAAACAGTCAAAACTTTGATTAATGTTAAATGAATGGATTTTGTAAATGGTAGACTACGGTACCCTTACACATTTACAGTTTCATGGCCCGATCGGCCATATATAATTATGTAATCTTTAATCTCCAGATTTTTTGGTAGCCGGAAAAGACAAATTGGCGAGGCAGTATCCATTCACTAGCTTCCCATCCCCAGGATGCAATGCGAAATCAGGGGGCTAACCCTCATTTGCATAGGACAGGAAGGCATCGGAATGATCCTGTTGACGTTAAACAGCTTGTTTTTCACTGTGTTGGGGCATTTTATTCTCAACGTTAATTAAATCACTATGGGTTGAACTTGACAACAAATAGATGATTATTTTTTGGAATATGTGGTTTGTAACGTTATAGTGGTAACGGCACGGTTTACTGATGCTGTAACGTTATTACAAACCACACGTTCCAAATTAAAAAGAACACAAAAACTTCAGGGTTAGCCCCCTGTTTTTGCATTGCATCCTGGGGATTGGAAACTGGTGAATTGCCCAACCAACAGTGGCTGAAGGGCCCTAGCTCTATCTGGCCAATGGATACTGCATTGCCACCGTATGCTTGGATATGCCAGGTAGAGGCTGACATATCGCACTACGTTCTATCCAGCTTCTTCTGTCGGCCGTCAACCTGATCATGACCCCTACAAAGGTCATGTCCGTTCCGACCGGAAGTGGTGAGGAACGAGAGGTGGAGCTAGCCTGTCTGACGTAAGTACAGTCAACTGGTCTTGCATGTATTTAGTTTTACATTGTACATGTAAGGCCATGTTGAGTTGATTATATGAATGACGTTCTTTGTGAACCCCCAAACTGTTGCGAGCGTGCGAATAAAAAATGTTTGGCAAAAAGTTGCCTTCATTATGAAATCTACATGTACGTGGTCATGAAGGTTGAACAAATGACTGAACACAGACAGTGATATTTTATTTGCATGGTGAATAATAGTAGAATCTTCATTTTCATTCCTTCACATTTTCCTCTTGTCGTTTGGAATGGATTTTGGCATTCTGCGACATAAAATTAAATGGCCTAAAAACGTGAGTTTGCAGAGTTCAGCGAACAAGTGTTTTTTTTTTTTGTCAATCGTAATGTTTTGCGCGCTCTACCGCCACAACGACAGTCATAATTCACGTTTTTTATGTATCCATTGAGGTTTTAATATTAACGTATTGTCATCATCGTGGGAGAGTTGATATTCATAAAGCTATAATGTTTGGGTCGTGTACCATACATGTATAGAATTCTTTTAATATTTATTTTTATTAACTAAAACGTATTTTTACGTGCAAAACTATCAACTGGAGGTAGAATCATCATTTTTAGGTTATATAATATTCTGTTTTGAATTAGCGAATAGGGTTAATATTCAGTGCTCCTCAAGAAGATGGCTTACATTGTGTCTGTTATGCAAGAAAGTTAGACTGTTTATACTATCATGAAAGTTCATCTGTGTTGGTAGTTACGTGTTTAAAGTTAAAACTTTTGGTCCAACACAAATAATTCTCTCACCTAGAGCTTTCGACCAGTCACTCTGGTCTTCCTCAGTAGACTGAACCAGTGAAGCTTGTCTACCAGATACCTTTGACCCAGTGTT